GCCCCTCCTGCGAAATCTGCACTTTCAGGTTCACGAAATCTCCACTTCGAACTTCGAGGTTCCCAAAATGCTGTGCCTGCCATGAAATCTGCACTTCGAGGTGTACAAAGCGCTGCGCCTGCCACGAAATCTGCACTTTCAGGTGCACAAAGCGCTGCGCCTGCCACGAAATCTCCACTTGGACGTTCAGAAAGCGCTGCGCCTGCCACGAAATCTGCACCTCGAGGTTCACAAAGCCCTGCGCCTGCCACGACATCGGCACCTCGAGGTTCACAAAGCGCTGCGCCTGTCACGAAATCTCCACTTTCAGCACAGCCAGCGCGGCCAAAATCGGAGTACTCCCCACACGAAAACGCAAATCATAACGTTGGAATCCAACGTTACGATCCGTTTTCGGCGACAGTTTCACAAAAAAGTGCAAATCATAACGTTGGACTCGGTTCAAAAAAGAGAATTACTATAATCTTTTTCAAACGCGTCCAACGTTACGATTTCGACTTTTGTCCCACGCCTGCCACGTAAAACGAGCATAACGTTGGATTCCAACGTTACGATTCAGCGTCTGGCCACACGTTGGGCCACCTGGAGCTTCAAATTCCGTGCGCCGGCCACGAAACATGAAAGCAGGTTTTCACCAAACGCTGCGCCTGCCACCAAAAATCGAACTAGAAGTTTAAGAAATGCTGTGCTTGCCACGAAAAATGGAACAAGAAGTTCACTAAATGCTGCGCCTGCCACGACAAATGGCAACAGAGGTTCACCAAAAGCTGCGCCTGCCACGAAAAGTGGAACTAAAGTTTACCAAACGCTGCGCCTGCCCCGAAAAATCGAATCAGAGGTTCAACAAATGCTGCGCCTGCCACGAAAAGTGGAACTAGAAGCTTACCAAATGCTGCGCTTGCCGCAAAAAATGGAAACAGAGGTTCACCAAACGCTGCACCTGCCACGAAAAGTGGAGCTAGAAGTTTAACAAACGCTGCGCCTGCCCCGAAAAATCGAATCAGAGGTTCACCAAATGCTGCGCATGCCACGCAAAGAGGTCCCCTGTGCGTGCCACGAAAACTGATTCCACAAGTAGCGCACGCATTGACGGTACCTATGGGACACTATGCAAGAGGTTAAAGGAAATGAGTGTGTTTTTGCATTTTCTACACATCACTTGTGACACTGCGGTTCCTCTTCGACTATTGAGTGAAAAATGGAAGTTCTCTGTTTTGAGATGGAGCTGATCATTTCAATATGTTGTGACTGAGCCACATGATGATCGAATCAGACAGAGGTTCAGCAAGGTGACGGCTTCCAAGCTCTGTTCCTGAGGTCGCCCGGCGCGCAAAAGCACGCTCGAACGCAACTTCCAAACTCCCCCAAAGTGCGGACACCGCACGGCACTGAGAAGGCCGAGGTTAATGCGAATGAAAGTTTGGATCCATGTGTCCAGTGTGCATATCAATCGGACCCCAGCAGCCGAAAACCGAAACCATGGGGGTATCTAACACTGAAGGCAACGCCAACATGCCCCACCGCGTCGCCCAACACGCCGAGCGGCCACCTGCATGACAAACGCCGCAAGGTCCAAGCCGAAGGTCAAAGCCTGCAGGTTTGCTCTGCAAGGCGACGGCTTCCAAGCAGCCTGTTCCTGAGGTCACACCGGCGCGCGACAGCACGCCCAAATGCAACTTCCAAAATTATCACTGAAATACGGGCAGCTCACGGCACTGAGAAGGGCGAGGTTAACACGAATGAAAGATTGGATCCATGTGTGCATATCAATCGCCCCAGCAGCCGAAAATAGAAAAGCATGGAGACATCTAATAAATGTAAAATAGGGGATGCACTCATCACCGACATCCCACCCACCGCGTCGCCCAACTGCATGACAAACGCCGCAAGGTCCAAGCCGAAGGTCAAAGCCTGCAGGTTCGCTCAGCAAGGCGACGGCTTCCAAGCAGCTGTTCCTGAGGTCACACCGGCGCGCGACAGCGCGCTCGAATGCAACTTCCAAAATATCACCCGAAATGCGGACAGTGCACGGCACTGAGAAGGCCGAGGTTAAACACAAATGAAAGTTTGGATCCATGTGTGCATATCAATCGTCCCAGCAGCCGAACGCAGAAAGCATGTGGACATCTGAACCTAAATAAGGGATGCACTGAAGGCATCGCCAACACGCCCACCCCAGGAGCCCCTAGTAGCGTCCTTGCCCCTATAGTAGTAAGGCAGGAAGTAGCATCCTTGCTCCTAGTAGTAAGGCCAGGACCCCCTAGTAGCATCCTTGCTCCTAGTAGTCAGGCCAGGAGCCCCTAGTAGCATCCTTGCTCCTAGTAATAAGGCAGAGCCCCTAGTAGCATCCTTGCTCCTAGTAGTAAGGCCAGGAGCCCCTAGTAGCGTCCTCGCCCTAGCGATAAGGCCAGGAGCCCCTTGCTCCTAGTAGCAAGGCCAGGAGCCCACGTCACCCGACAGGCCGAGCGGCCACGTGGCCGGTTGATACGACCACGGGCGAAGAGCTCGAAGTCGAAGAAGGCACCTGCATACCGACGAGCGAGCGACCGCGGTAGTAAGGCCAGGAGCGCCGAGTAGCGTCCTCGTTCCTAGTCATGTGCCTAGTGGCGTCCTTGCTCCTAGTAGTAAGGCCAGGAGCCCCTAGTAGCGTCCTTGCTCCTAGTAACTAGTAATAAGACCAGAGTAAGGCCAGGAGCCCCTACTAGCGTCCTTGCTCCTAGTATAAGGCCAGGAGCCCGCGTCACCCAACAGGCCGAGCGGCCACCTGGGCTGGTTGACACGACCACGGATGAAGAGCTTGAAGTCGAAGAAGGCACCTGCAAACCGACGAGCGCGCGACGCAGTAGTAAGCCCAGGAGCGCCGAGTAGCGTCCTCGCTCCTCGCAATGTGGCCAGGAGCCCCTAAGAAGGCCAGTAGCAAGGCCAGGAGTCCTTGCTCCTAGTAACAAGGCCAGGAGCCCCCTACTAGCGTCCTGAAAGTAAGGCCAAGAGTCCCTAGTAGCGTCCTTGCTCCTAGTAATAAGGCCAGGAGCCCCTAGTAGCGTCCGTGCTCCTAGTAGTAAGGCCAGGAGCCCGCGTCACCCCACAGGCCGAGCGGCCACCTGACCGCGGATGAAGAGCTCGAAGTCGAAGAAGGCGCCGCGCATCAGCCGCTGGCGCATCAGCCACCGAATGACATGGAGCGGCGAAACCAACAATTGAAAAGCGCTACATCCACAACGCAACATAACGTTGCCATTAGCAACCGAAGCAAACGTTGAGCAAGGTCATTTGCTCGAAAAGTGTAACAAAACAGAATGTTGAGAAGGGTCCTTGAAAGCACTAGGAGCAACAAAGTCCACAGTCTTGGCAGGGTCAGATTGTGGTTTTGCTATCATCTTGTGGTCTGCTTGTCTTTAATTTCTGTGATACCGTTTTTCCTTTCAAAGTTGTTCCGCTTCCTGGCTGCAATCCAGAGCAAGAATGACCGAAGGGTTTCCGAAAACTGCTTCTGGAGGTGGTCCAAAACATAAACCCCGGTAACAAGGCAAGGGCAACCGCACGCAACCAAACAATTTGCGTCACATGTTTCTTTATTGGGCCAACCCTGTAGTTGACGCATCATATTACACGGTAATAGTATGTCAACATCAAACATCTCACTATCTCTTTGAGGAGCTCATATTATCTGCCTCAGCTGCTGCAGGGTACTGCGGGCACGACAAACCTGGACTAGCAAGCCTAGACAGAGAGAGAGGGAGAGATGTGAGGGACTCTAGCCCAGCATACGCTAGCTTTTGCGAGCACGGCCAGTTCGGCAAGGTTGCTCTTACAGCCCTCGCTCAGCAGTTGTCAGCTTAGCTGTAAACAAAAAGCTAGCACGTGGGTGACAGGTGACATATTTATCGCTTGCGCCGGCTTCTGCGAGCACGGCCACTTCAGCAAGGTTGCTCTGACAGCCCCCGCTCAGCAGTTGTCAGCTTAGCTGTCAACAAAAGCTAGCACATGGGCGCAAGTCTCTCTTTCCCCAAACACTGCCAATGTGCCCTGCAATATAGCTATGTGGACATCTGCTCAGACTGCTCAGATTGCACTCGACGCGCCAGCAGCCAGGTGAGATCAGCAGAGCTCAACTTGCCAGCGCGCCGCATGAGTCTCTGTCGCTTTTTCTCCTGCATGTGCGCCAGAATGAGTCGCGCCGCGCGCAAGTCGGAAGCACAAGCAACACAATACTGCATCAAATTTCAACAATACATGTGGATCATGCGCCGGTCGCCTCATTGCGAACCTCACGGTTCGCTTGCTGGAGCTGCCGCTTCAGGTTCTGCCGCTGTGTTTTGAGCGAAACCAGCCGATCGGCGGCTGGGTGCCTCACGACTTAAATTCATCAGGAAGTGGTTGGAGGTCTGAACCAGTCTGGTGCCAAGTATAGCCTTTCCAAAAATGATAAACATTAATGTCCAGATGCGGCCCAAACAAAATCACGTTGCTTGTGGGCGCTCCCAAACATGATCAGCGTACTATGTGCGTGCCGGCGGTGCGAACCAACAGATATATGATGGCGGGGCGCCTCGCAGCCGGAGCTGCTGCTGCTGTTGCTTCTTCATCAGCGGCTGCGTCAGACATGGCAGTCGGGAGTGTCTATATAATATATAAATATTGGGGACGAGTGCTTGAGCAACATGTACTGCCCCACGGACGGGCACCGACGGCGCCCGACGGCGCGAATTTCCAAACCGAAAAATGGACCGTCTTCCAAGTTCAGCAGTTGCACCCCTCGAAGTAATATGTAGCTTTTAGCCATGCAATGTATATAGGATATCATGTATGCTTACCTTGTAGCGGTAGCTTAACGGTTAGCTGAGGGGGGTGTATTTTCACTCCACGTAATATGTAGCTTTTAGCCATGCAATGTATATAGGATATCACGTATGCTTACCTTGTAGCGGTAGCTTAACGGCTGTTTTTATAGCCAGACAACACAATGCTCTGCCCACATTCCCGTTCACGCGCCCGTCGAGGAGAACCAGTTGAACTTGTCGAGCATGGATCTCACCGACGAGGAGGCTGAGGCCCATGGCCTTCCGGCTGAACTTTTGAAATGGATGAGGAGATCAAACTCTTTGCGCGTGTTGTGAAGTTCAGAGCAGGATCGCGATCGCCGACAATCGAAGCCAACTTTCCGGAGCCTTCTTTTCATTCGATGGATATCCTTTCACTGGCAGGTGCTGGCTCAGGCAGTGCGTGGATTGCTCAACATCAGTGATATACGAGTCATCGACCTCCGCAACAACAAGATTAGCGTCAGTGGCCTCGAGGCGACCATCAATTTGTGGCCATTGTTTCATGTTTCGACCTAGGAATGTCATACTTCGAACCCTCCGACTGGAACTACGTACCAAGGGAACTAGCGGATTGGTTTGTTGTTTTTCGCTTTGAACAGATTTTTTTTTGAGCTACGGTGTACGGTATACGCGACAAACACGTTCAAATGCACACCCGGAACAGTCCAAACATGTGTAGTTTGGCAGGGGGATCAGCTTTTATCACGATCATTATTGGCGTTGCCAGATCATGGAAACTCCAACACAAACAGTTCTTTTTGCACCAGGAGGTGGTGCCCCTTTTCCAATCTAAGAACCACAAAACAAAAACAATCAAAGCAGCGCACTCATTTTTTGTCTCAAGAATGGGTTTCTATATTGTTGTATTCAATTGTGAACAAAGACACCAGCGATAGGCAAACGCAAGCACATTGAACTGGCAAAGTTTGTTTCAATTTAGAAAGATGCAAGTCTGACGGTCGGGACCCAGAAACTCTATGATTCTACACGCGTGTTTCTTCAAGGCATGTAGTTGGCCTGCCGCGCGTAGAAGGTTTAGTGTCTGCAGGGCCACTGGGAGTGCGTCGCAATTGCCAAAAGCCTAAGCATTTTCTTTGTGTGTTTCACCCATTCGGGCAAGTATGTGGAACATCCATGGTATTTACCTTGCATTATGTCAGTCTGCGGGAAATACGTGTCAATGTCGATCAAACAGGGGGTGCTTTGCTAGTTATGTGTATTATAAGTTATATGTATCATATAATATCATCGTTGGATATCGTTGGCGCTTGGCATGGTCATGTAATGGAAAGAACAGGGGTGGGAGGGGGCGGCGTATCAACGTCGATGCTAGTTAGGTGGATGCTAGATTCATGGAACAGGACGTGCTTCGTTGGTTATACATCTATATATATGATCGATGGTGCTTGGCATGGTTGTGTAGCGGAAGGAACATTAGTCTGGGCGGTGTTGACGGTTTTCGGCTGTAGTAAGCTTTTGGAACAGCGCTGCTGTCGGCTTTGTTTAGTTCACGGACAGTGATCATTGTTAAAGACTAGTAAGTCTTGCTTTCAGTGTTGTTTGAGTGGTGATGGATGGGGATCGGTCTGAAGTTTCAGGGACAGAACAAGTAGTTTTGCGGATCAAATGGTTTGACCCTAAGCTTTAGCATTGTTGCTGTTGCCTCGCATTGCTGGTCAGCCATGGAAATGTTTGGTCGAAATCTGTTTGCAGACGAAGTGCTTGTACAGATTAGCAACTTGTTCTGACGGGCCCAGGACTTAACGATATGCAGCCTGGTGAAGTTGGTACCGGTATGTACCAGTAGGTCTGGTGGTCTAAGAAGTTCTAGAGGCTTCAGTTTCGTTCAATTGGCTTCATGCTGTGTCAGACGGACGCGCGCACACACTTAGATTGATGCTCGCAAGAGCTAGATCAGTTATGATCCGAGGAAAAGAATGAGTGAACCGAAAGGCGAAAGGTCAGAAGACTTGAAGGTATTTGAACAATTGTTTGGTGCAAGTCTGCAGTCCCTATGCATTAGCCGTTTTTCTGAATACCTAGCAGACCGTCTATGCATTAGCCGCTTTACTGAATACCTAGCAGACGGAGGGAGCGCATTAGCACTTTAGAGCGCATTAGCCCTTTAGAGTACTTAAACAGTAAAATGTTGGAAAGACGCAGGTACGTTTGCGCCCAGGTGGGGGGGTGTCTTCATTGGCCGGAGGCCCCCCACCCGGCTCCGGCCCCCTGCCTGAATTTACTTGCGTGGGGTGGTGTCCTTTCCTTTGGTACAGGTGTGGACACACACACACAAAAGGCCGGGAATCGGCGCACGCTCCTTTTTATCCGCGCGGGGGGGGGAAGGTGTGGGAGTGCATTGACTAAACGTGCCTGGATGCCAACCTAACCAGCCTGAGAGAAAGAACAAGACAAACGAAAAGGCAAGAAAGGAAGAGAAAGGTGCAAGGGGTGCTGGGGTGTGGGCAGGGCGTGCATTGACTCGACGAGCCTAAGCGACGACCTAACAAGCCTGAAGGAAAGCCCAAACAAACGAAAAAGGCAAGGAAAGAAAGGGTGCAGGGGGTGTGGGGTGGGGGTCGGGTGGAAAGGACTGGCCCGAAGGCACTGGCAAAAGAAGCAGTCATCGGCGCTCGCTTGACTTAAAAATACTTCAGTTACACCCAACAAAGCCTCTACAAACCGAGAAAAGACACAGAAAACGAAAAGCGACAGCAGGAAAGAAAGAACCAAAAAGACGTGAATACTTAGCAGCATGGCCTATGATTACCTAGCCGCATGACGTGGACATGACTACTTAGCCACGTTCGAGAATCTGTGCTGGGTTTCGATCTCAGTAAGCCCTGCGGCGTATGGTCGGCACTTTCGAGCAGAACGAAGGATCAAGTAAGGTTCACGATGGAAGGATCCAGCGCAAGACCGGGGATCAGGGAAGGGTCACCCTTAAGGGCATGTGCGCATGCTGCGCCCCTCGCTGGGGATCACACCACAGCCCGCAGTGGGACTCTGTGGCGACGCGCGCACACTTAGATGGTTGCTCGCAAGAGCTAGGATCAGTATGAAGTCCCACTTTAGACGATTACATTACCCCCTGCATTGTAGACCTTGACTTGCAAACGGAATGGTGAAGGAGTCGGCGTTACTTGAAGTGTTTAACATTTGGTGAAACGAGAAGGAGCCTAGAGTTAAAAATTGTGGCAGGTACGCCGAGTTGTTTTATCCCGTGATTGTGTTAGCTTCGTTGAGTGCGGTCCCACAATCACGCCGCACTCCCCTGCTGGTTAGTGAACATGTTGAAAAACTGACAAACTGCATGCTAATAGCGATACCAGGAGCCCTTAGTAGCGAAACCAGGGGCCCCTAGTAGCGTCCTTTGTGACTCAAAACCTTAGGCACAGGTGTGGACACACGCACGAAGCCGTACTCGGTGCGCTCTCCCCTGCTTGCAAACGAGGCCAGGAGCCCCTAGTAGCGTCCTTACTCCCCGTAGAACGGCCAGAGGCCCCTAGTAGTACCGTCCTTGCTCCTAGTACCGATGCCAGAAGCCCCGACTAGCGTCGTTTGTGCCGCAAAGCCTTAAGCGCATGTATGGATACATACACAAACGCAAGGCCGTAATCGGTGCGCTCTTTGTACACAACTTTGTACACATAGCTTTGCGCACATAGCGCCAATATTGGCGCTGCGGAAAAATTACTAGCCACCTAAAAAGCCTTAGAAAGACAGACAAAGAAAACACAACAAAAGCAGACTAAGAGGGCAAGAAAGAAAGATAGGTGTAGTTACGAGGCCCACTAGTTACAATACGTGCAGAAGTTAGCGAGCGGGACTTTGTTCTTATACCGCCCGGGTAGCTAGAGGTAGGACAGGAGAAATAGAAGGAAAGGTGCCAACACACTAAATAGCGGGTGGGATAGCAACGGAGGCCTGGGGCAGGGAGGGGTGGCCCGAAGGCTGTCATCATTGACATTTAAGCCGATTATGGGGACGGCGGACCCATTTCTGAAAAACACCCGGAACCTAAAGAAAGGCCTCAAGAAACGAAAAGCGACAGCAAGAGAGAAAGAACTCAAGAACATGACAAGCGCATGCAGCTGAAAAAAGTCACTCACGTTTCTCGCTCTCCTCCGGCCTGTGAATACTTAGCAGCGTCAAGTAAAACCGCGTTTGGCGCATCTTTGGTTGAAGCCTCAAGAAACCTAAAGAAAGGCTTCCAGAAAAAGAACAGCAACAGCAGGAAAGCAAAGCTCAATCGGACCAAAAAACCCACTCTCGTTTCTCGCTCTCTTCCGGCCTGTGAATACTTAGCAGCGTGACGTGGACATGTGAATACTTAGCCGTATGCAAGAATCCTGACTGGAATTTTGATCACAGTAAGCCCTGCGGCGTAGTATCAGTGGTATCGTGCAAAGCAGTCAATCAAGGGGGTTTCAGAACGAAGTCCCAGTGCAGAGACGAAGCAATCAGGGTGGGTGCCCCAGGATCTGGGTCTATGCACATGCTGCGCCCCTCGATGGGGATCACACCACAGCCCCCAGAAGACTTGAAGGTTTTTGAACAATTGTTTGGTGCAAGTCTGCAGCCCCTATGCATCAGCCGTTTTACTGAATACCTAGCAGACCGTCTATGAATTAGCCGCTTTACTGAATACCTAGCAGACGGAGGGAATGCATTAGCACTTTAGAGCGCATTAGCTTTTTAGAATACTAAAAAGTTAAAATGTTGGAAAAACGCAGGTACGTTTGCACCCAAGTGGGGGGTGTCTTCATTGGCCGGAGACCCCCGACCCGGCTCCGGCCCCCTGCCTGAATTGACTTGCATGTAATGGTGTCCTTTCCTTTGGTACAGGTGTGGACACACACACACATCTCTAAATCACATCAATAAACCATGTGGATGCAAAGTAGTTTTCCAAACCCAAAAGCTCTGCTTCCCAGACCCCTCAACAACCACAGAACCGCTAAACACCATGGAATGTTAACAAAACATGTTATTTAACGCACCAGAAATGGTCCCGAAACAAAGCGGCCGTCTAGAAGCGGCGGACCATGTAGTTTTGTGCCTCAAACACTCCCAGCATTCTCTCAATCAGTCAAAATGGCCCAGGCTTTGGCCAAAGCTTTGTCGAAGCATGCCACGGTGCAAGAACTGTATATCGTTTCCGATGATATCCAGGCACCCTGGAACTGGGAAGATAACGAGCAAGAGTGGTCAGCAGTGGGAAACAACTTATGTCAAGGCAGCTGCTGTCCACAGTGCTACTGTTGTTTATTTTTCAGAGTTTCGGAGACTCCTTTGATTCCTGTGGAAAGCTAAATAGACAGGTGAAGTAGGAAGCGGGGGCGTTCAATTCCGGTTTGAAATCCTTGAGTCCTAAAGCAACCAGAATGCCGCTTCAATGATAGCTCCGAGATTGACGACTCTCCAAGGTGTAAAGCGTGTGCATGATCCTGTTGGCAGAGTCGGGTTTCCCGCAGCACTGCCCCATGCATTTAGTAAGTAGGAGGACTGCATGGCAGGGTGCGGGGTAACCTGAGAGGGAGCATGTGGTCAAGTGCGTCGGAGTTTTGGCAGCTCAGGGCGGAAATGAGAAGGAGGTTAACAAATCGCTTCTTGCGCTGATGCGCAAATGGGGTAGGGCCCTTCATCATCAGGACAGGCGCGCATCAGTTCCTTTAAAACTCGGTTGTAGATGTCCATGGGCAAGACAGGCTATCACTGTTACTGGGTGATCATCACGTGGGTGGACGCAATCACTCCACTCCGTTTCTTTTATTGTTGTGCCTGGGAATTGCATCAACCTGTGCCTTACGGAGTGAGAGCATAGCTTTTGATGTGTGGATGCTGTTGATTGGGACATACAGCGTGTCAGCACAGCAGCTGTTGGGTGAGACCTTCTGGACTTCAGTTAGTGGAACAATGGCAATTGTTTGAGCACCTTGTTTGATTCTGCGACTGTTAAACCTCGCTTTTGACCGAGAATTTGCGCAACTCATTGAGGAGACAACGCTGAGCAGTGTGCTCAAGGAGGTTTTTGCAACCGCAATAAAGAAGGACTGTAGGATAGTCTTGTTGCTGCTTTCTGCAACACATTGGATTTGTTGGACTCTTGTTGACCACCTGGCTGCAGTTTGCTTTCTGTGATTGTGTGACCCGAATAATATCTAAAATCCAAGTGATAACTCATTCATGTTGATTGTCTAGAGTCTAATATAGACGATCGCACAATCGCACGCATATGTTTTGAACTTGCAAGTTCCAGGTAAGGCAATCTCTTTCCACCAGCCCTTTGCCAGAGGGACAGCAGCTGGCACTGGGCGGGCATGCCGCTCTTGCATTTAGGGTAGGGCAGCGTATGGAAGATAGGGAGCTACCCTGTTCCTACACTGGTCGGTTTAGAGTTGGCCACATTCACTTGATTGAGGAGACGCTCCTAGACTTGAAGAAGATGCACCTCAACGACAAGGATGTTGAGGCTCGGCTCGCTTTCTCCTGCTGAAACTAGACGAATTATACAAATGATTGAACAGATCAAACACTTTCCGCTCGTTGTGAAAGTTTGGTGACCAACCTGAACAGCTGACGTTCACTGGGCCTACACTTTGCAGATTCCCTTCATACCTCACGCATCCTCACGCTCTGTCAGGAGCTGGCCCCGCTGTTGCCCAGAGTGCTCCAGTGCAAAGTACAGGTCATCGACCTACGCAATAACGACATGGGCCTCGACGGCTTCAAGGCAACCAAGAAGACTTTGTATTTCGTTTCCTTGACAGAGTTTGAGTCCTCAAGGTTTCATTTTAGAGCAAAACGCCTGCGGGTTGAGAAAACAAATTCTTATTCCTCTCCCGCATGGAGAACATTGGCTGGATCATGTAGGCTTGACACGGCTCTCCTTCATTCATCAGAAAGTGGAAAATGCAATATGGCTGTTGGTTATCGCACCCCGTATTACCAGTGAGCATCCCAATCATGACCATAATCCTCTTCCAGGTGATCTTCACCTACCCTGACTCAGGAGTTTAGGTATTGACCTACGGCCGTATATGCAAGGAACAACTCCTTGAGACTTGGGACGTGTGAATTGCTTAGTAACTCAACATCATGTGGTGCTGGCGCCATCCGTAAAGCGCACGATCAGGAGTCCCTTGCGGTCCAAAGTCACAACTTCGTAGTATGTTTCAACTATCGCTTGGTCGTGAAAAGCCGATCCTGTTCAAGAGGTGCCCTCGGTTTTCCTCCAGAGGTTTTCATTCACGCGTGGATCCTGGGTGTTCAGACAAACTTGGGAGTCTGGGGAGAAACAATGTCTTTGCAGACACAGATGGCAAATGCGGCGTTTTGCAATGTTCAGAGCTGGCAGGCTTTGGCCAAAGCGTCAGTGAATGATGAGTTGCTTAAAGGGCTCCTTATCTTCAGCTCGGATAGCCAGGCAAGCTTGACCCGGAGCGCGGGTGATGGAAACCAAAGGTGGTCAGCAATGGGAACCAGCAGATAGAGTTATGGGCTTTTAGGCTAAGGGCATTTTCAAGCGGGTTGAATGTTGAGCGACTCAACACCAATAGTACAGTTTGCCCGACTGTTCCATATTCAGTTTATATACTTCTTTTTTTGTCAATACTCCTGCCCGTTCCGAGAGGGTTGAACTCGGTGGAACTGCAAACATGGCCATGGCTTGAAGATGGTGCATTGCATGACCGGGGCCGGGGTCCTACGTGACAACATTTCCATTGGCGTTCAGACCCAGAACCACAAGGTTGAGGGTCCAGCGTGCTTTGGCAGAGTGCCGGTTTGCTGCACTGCAACTTTGAAAGATGCACCCACACCCATAGTTACCGGAACATGTGCAGAGCATATTTTCATCCTAATTTCGACTGCTCAGGGCAACCAAGAGGAGAAAGAAGCGCTCCTGGCACTGATGCGCAAATGGGGCGCAGTCCTTCAGTCTCAGGACAGACTTAAGCAGGACAGGCCGCCGACCATAATCACGGCTGTGACAAGGAAGTCTTATATAAGTGATCATCAGCCGCCTCCTGCCTCCTGCACTTGTGTGACTTGCGGCTTATGTGTAAAGCTGATAAGATTGTTTGCCAATGGATGCTGCTGACTGGGACAGGGTATTAGCGCATCATAGTGTTTGGTGACGCCTTTCCTTGCCAAGTGGTCAAGCAAACATGTTTTGACCCTCACCCCAGCAATGAGGAGGAGACGAAGCTGAACAAAGTCTTCTCGAAGGTTTTTGAAGCCACAATGAAGAAGGACCAGCATTGGAGATGTTGGGCTGTGTTGACCACCTAGCTGCAGCCAGCCTTCTTATTGAGTCACTGCACCTTTCAGAATGTTTCAATTGTTGTTAATGAATGGCAAAGATGCTGCAGATATATACTCACCCATCCCAATCAGAGAACATGCTATGAGCACATACAGCTCCAGATAGCTTAGATACCCCAGTTGTTCAGGATGCCTTAGATACAAGCTGCAAACCAAATGTTTCGTTGAAAAGCAAAGACCGCTAGAGTTGATCCAAACAGCTCGAAAAGGGACAAGTCTCAGATAGTACAGTGCCTATAGTCGAGTGGTGCCAAAAGAGGAACCAAAAAAAGGCCAGCACGCCAAAGGCAGATCTCAACAAGCCCTACCACAAAGGATACTCTCAGCATTTCAATGCTTTGGTTCATTAGAATGTCTTCAGATTGAGTGCCCGTTTGATCAGATTCGCAAGCGGATTTCCTAACATGGGCACTTTCAACGTCGAACACCACATTTCCAAAAAAGAAGCTACGGTAAAGCAGTCGAAACAACGCCCACTGGCCATGACAGGTCACGTGACCTCAATGGAAGGAGCAGTCATTGAACACTGTCAGGCGGAGGTTTTGGACCTGTCAAAGATGGGGCTCAGCAATGTCGAGGCTCAGGCCCAGGGCTGCCTTTCCATTGAAGCTGGGAGTTCTGGTGTTGCTTGTTTTTAGGCCACTGGGTTCACTGAGCAATCTCAGCTGCTCAGCAGTTCACTATTAAAACCAAACAGCTTGCCAGATTTCTCTTTTGGTTACATTTTGAAGGCGAGAAACCAAGCTCTTCATTCTCCCCTTGTTTGCCCATATTCACTCCTTCCTGTGTGTCATGTTATTCCAAGCGTTGTGGTCCCTTCAGTTGCCAATCATCTCTTCATCCTTCATCCACCGCTAGGCCTTGGCTGAGGGAGTGCTTGGACTGCTCAAGATCAGCAATGTGCAATTCATCGACCTCCGCAGCAGCGAGATTGGCCTCTACGGCTTCGAGGCACACGCCTCCCTGCCCTTTGTTCCACTACCCACCGAACGCGTGCGAACATGGTTTCCTTCAACATTTCTTTTGGACAAACAGGGTTGTCGTAAGCAGGTCAGACAAGAAACCTCCGAGTCAAGGAGAATTTAGCGACGCGCAACAGCGGGCCAAGTGTTGGTACAAGGAAAGGGCAACACAAAAAAGAACATACAACAGTTGCAAGGCCACTTGGGCGGCATAACTCGCACCACCTACTCCACATTAGCCTTTTTAGCAATCTTGAAGGAGGGAAGGGTGCCTCGAAGCATGTTACGAAGAACGTCATTATTTTTGAACATCACAGTAAATCGGGCCAGCATGGGCTGGCCTTGGGTAAGTCCACAGACCCCACCGCCCAAGGCGGTTGTCCGCAGGGCAAGGAGCTCAGATATAGCACAGGTATAGCGCAGGTATACTTCGGGTAATCCCGCAGGGCCAGGGGGAGGAAGTGAGCTCGGAAGGAAACGCAGAGGCTAGAAACCCTCACAATTCCAATGTTTTCTGCTCTTGTACAAACGCATGAGAAGCATCGAAAACGCATGTTTCATCTACCGTTCTTTTAGCATGCTGCAGGTGCCCCTACTATGGCTTAAGATGGCACCATGGTGCGAGTTATGCTGCCCAAGTTGCCGTGCATTCTTTACATTTTATGTTTTTAGCTTTGTTTCTTGAAAGCAACAACCATGACAACCACCACCACCACCAACAACAACAACAACAACTACTACTACTACTACTACTACTACTGCTACTGCTACTGCTACTGCTACTCCTACTCCTACTCCTACTCCTACTACTACTACTACTACTACTACTACTACTACTACTACTACTACTGCAACTGCAACTGCAACTGCAACTGCAACTACAGCCACCACCAGCAGCAGCAGCAACAACAACAAAGCCACAGTCACAACCACAACAACCACCACCACAAACACCACCAACAAGCACAACAACAAGCCACCACTCTCACCTGTTTGCCTCTGCCGCCTGGGCGTAAGCCCCTAAATGGAAAGAAGGGGCGTAGAAGGCGTCCCTCGCCGCAGGCTTAGCCCATGTTGTTCTGCGCTTTAGCCAGGCCAGTGAGCTGGAGTCGGTGGAAGTTGCAAGGTGTGTGCCAAACGCTTGCAAAAGAGCCGGTTGTTGAACTCCGAGGCGCAGTACTCAGGACGTCACGCAACTTCTAGAACATACAATCCGTACAGCACATCTCATCGCAATGAGTGTGAGTTGTTTGAGCTTTGAGTTGGCTTCTGGTTGAGTTGGCTGAGTATCGAGTTGGCTGAGCAGTGGGCGAGCAGAGTTGTGAGCTAGCAAGGGGGTGAGACAGTGTGGCTCTGAGGTAGCCAGGTCAAGACCTAGGTGACCTAGCTGAAGCGTGAATCCCCAAAACGTTGAGCCAGTTTATCAACGAACTAAGTGGTGAGCTAGAGAAGCTTGCAGCGAAGGCAGGTAAGAGTAGCTGAACTTTGCAAAGCTCAGTGGCAACAACTGACAGCTCGCATAGTACATGGTTTACTGCAAAGTGTTTTTTGCATCATGGCTTAGCTTACGAAGCTCAGCGCAACCAGTTTCCTCATTTTTCAGAGGTCATGCAGGTTGCTGTCAAGCCCTTGGAGAGCCAAGGCAAGCTAGCTTGCCTGCACCTAACTTAGGTTTTGTCACAAGTCAGCTAGCTAGGACTCAGATAACTCGCAACTGAGCTTTGTCAAACTCAGCAATTTGCACTTTGGCACTAACCTCAGCCAACAATCCATCCAGCGAACTCACATCTTGGTGGCCTTAGCGAGCTTAAACTCAACTAACTCACGCCTCTTACAAATGTCCAGTTGACGCAAGTCCGATTTCATCTGTTTATTGCAGCCAAAATTTGAGTTGCTGCGGGCTTGTTTTCGTTGCAGGTTTGTCTTGAGCATTTGTGCTGGCTGCCATTTGTTCATGTCACCCACACGGTTTTGGTGTCCAGTGTGGTGCCCAACATGCCAAAGAACAGTGTTTGCTTGAAGCAGTTGCTTGATGCAAGTCTTGTCAAAGCTGCCAGGCGCTGGCCAAGGCTTTTTCCATGAACTTCACCCTGAAAAGGCTGAAAATCTTCAGCCCAGATGGTGAGGCGACCAGGTTGCAAAATGATGTGTTTGCCTCTCACAGTCCAGGCTATTCTACAAATGGATTTTTTTGTTTAATCTTTTTCCGATCCAAGTTGCGTTGGGGTTGGGTTCATTCAACGGTCCGGATTGCCTCAGAGGTGCACCTTTCCCAAAGAATCCATGGACTCTTGGGGGTCAAAGCCTCTTGGGGCGCACGCTGTGGGACCCGGATTTGGAGTCTTACGACGTCTTAACAGTCCCACGCTTCTTTCTTGTTCATTGCGTTTCAACCGGTTACGAATCATTTGACAGGGCAACGAAGAGGCGAGCGGCGTGCTGCTGAACTTCATGCGCCAGTGCGGCACAGCGTTGCTGAATCAGGACCGACATAGCGTTCCTCAACGATATGGTGATCCTGACTTGACACTCCATGGATTTGCTGTACATCGATTTGCAAGCAAGTGGTCAAATCAAGCGGCATGATCAGCTCTCTTTACTTTGTGCCTTTCTGAGCTTTGAATTTTCATACTTGTTTATGTTTTGTACACTTTGAAGTATATATTTTTGCATTTCTTTGACTGTCAATCAAGCGTTGTTTGCTGTGTCCCAGAGCTTGTTCACCAAGTCGGGATACCTAGGACAGATTTAAGTTGGGCAATATCTGCCTGGACGTTATGAAAGCCCTAGAGGGCCAGGACGAGCATGTGATCGCTAGGTTGTTTTTTGATGTTCAAGAGTTATACATTGGCCACAGCTGTTGGTTGGTTGCATTTGAACATAGACAGACTAGCAGGGTGTTTGACCTATGCGGTGCAAGAATTTGGTGATTACAATTCAACGAGCTTGGACACCTTCTATTCTGCTTGATGTACATCGGCATTCTGTTGCGACAAGGTAGGCAGGTCACTGGCTTGGTCTCAGATTCAATGTTTGGCTGTGCCGCTATGGTTGAAGGAGCAAAATGGAAAGGTGTTGAAAGCGCTGCAAATGCTTGGCAAAGCCATTGCACACCAGGACAACGTCGCAAGATCGCTGCAAGAGTGTGACATTTCGCTTCAAACATTTGCCGGGGCATACTGCGGCGTCGCCGTACAAGTGTCTCATGTACATGTCGCAGGGTGTTGGACGGACATAAACCGATTGTGAGGCAGATGCAGGTTTGAACCTGATGATATCAAAGCCTCGACGATTGAAGCCTTCTGCATTGTTTCATCCTGAGCACATTATGTATACGCTGTGTGAACCCGAACCCGACCCGAGCAGTTCCGGTTCCTGTTGCCACCGTTCATTGCACAGTAGCTGGAAAACCGCACGAATCCGAACCAGACCCGAACCCGAACTGAACAGTTTCCCTTCACATTCCCGTTCAGCAATGCAACTGGCTTGTTGTGCTTGTCTTGATCTTCCTTGCTTTTTATTGCTTCTCTGTGGTTACTCGTGCTTTTCTTCCTTTTCCTGCTTTTTTGCGCTTGTCTTGTTATTTTGCTTTTCCTTTGCTTTTCAGTGCTTCCCTCTGATTTCTCCTGCTTTTCTTGCTTCTTTTGTTTTTGTCTTGGTCTTCTTGGCTCTTCTTCTGCTTTTCTTTACTTTCCTGGTTCTTGTCTTCCCTGTTTAAAATGCTTTTGCTTTCCATGGCCTTTGTTGCGGTCGCTTTGCATTGTATAGTTGCTTTTCAAGCCTTGAGTTTGTATTGCTCTATTCTAGCTTCTCTTGCTTTCTATACTTTTGCTACTCTTGCTGTTTGTATTCTGCTCTATTGGTTGTTGTGTTTTGTTTCACTTCCAGGGACACCCCAAGTGATCCCACGTCCATCATATGAACAACAGTCGTTCATTCTTTACCATCCTCTCGATTATGATGCGCTGGTCCCATGATTGTTCGCCCTGCGGACAAAGTTTTGTTTTGATCGACACGACCTGGGCTTGTGGAGTAGCAGTTTCTGCCTTGTGGTCCAGTTGGTTATAGTACTTTTTGCACACAGGCCCTACTGTGCCCTCTTGGACAGTCATTTCTACAAGGTTAGGTGTGTCCACATATATAGAATGCGATTCCAGTGGTGAATGGCTCTTTGAGCTGGGCTGCACTTGAAAGCGCGCTTGAGCTGGCAGGCTCCTTCAGAGTGTAGAGAGGTTCTCAATGGTTCCCACCATCTACGTATGTAACTCGCTCAGACCCCTCAAAGAGCCATTCAACACTTTTGCAGTCGAGCACTAAAACAATATTGAGGATTATTCGGGGCATATGTGCTGTTCAATCTCTCTCGGATGTGCTGTGTTTCGGTCATGCTCGGTGGCGATACGTCGCTGAAATTCCAAGCGGCCGGAGGGGTGAAGAGGGCGCTGCCCGGAGGAGTCCGCTTGTTAGAGATGATCCTGACTCTTTTCCGGGGTGTTGTCGTTAAGCTTCTGTAAACCCTTCAGAGCAAATGGCCCCGCAGGTCCTGCACCCACGCGCGTTACAAACAAGCATCGGTAATGGGGAAGGGGAGCGGTTGATGACCGTGTCACCTTGATTTTAGAGAATACTTTGCAACCCAACCTGCTAAGCCTATGAGCAGGGCTTCAAAAGAAAGCCACGCTGACTCTTTTGCAGTTTCGTTTAAATTTTGCAAATTCACAGTGTTCTCAGCGGAGTGTCAAGCAAGAATGCGGTGGAAGAATGTTAGGCAGAGTGTTCCCACAACATTGTCATGCAAAATTTTCAATCGAACATGTTGCCCAAGGGTACCCTATGCAAGATTTAGATAGATTTAGTGTCTATCAGCTAGTGTCGTGGCCCGACCTTGAAAGCTACACCAAAAACATCCCCAACCTGAGGCATGCCCACGTTGGACCAGGCCATTCTAGCTCCCCGAGTTGGACTGAGGCCCCAGTTGAGCTAACTAGCTCCCCGACCATTCCGCGAGCCCGCTGCCCACCCCAAGTCCGCTGAAAGTCGTGTTTGCCAGTTGTCCGTGCGGGTGCCCCACCGGCGAGACCTCCCCCCGAGCGCCCACGAACCCGCGAGCCCGCGCCGAGCCCGCGCCGAGCCCGCGCCGAGCCCGTGAGCCCACGTAGAGAGTTTGGCCAGCGGGGCTGCGCAAGGTGACCCCCCGCTCACCGACCACTCCTTCACAAAAGGTCTGCGACCTTGGACGGGCTTCTTGTGACGCTAATGTTCTCGTCGCTTGTGACGCTCATTTTCTCGTAGCACACCGTTAGCAATAACTGAGGCCTTACTGAGGCCTTAACAAGGCCTTTACCTTGGTACCAAGAAACACCCCACCCCACCCCACCCATCCTGATGGTGAGGATTGTTTGCAGGTCTGCCAGTGCTTTTCAACGTTAGCATACCCCACCCCAAAGAAACAGGTCGTCGCAAGTGAATGGTGGACTTTCTTCATGGCTCACAACAGGTATACTTCGTTGGCATCACTCCTGCCTCCTCCAAACTTTGCCTTCGCTGGCTCACAAAATGTATGCTTTGTTGGAATGGCTCCTTCCTCTTCAACATTTTCCCTCTGGTGCCGCGCCAAAGCTATGCTTCCTTGGAATGGCTCCCCTCCTCTAGATTTGACCCTCAGTGATTGGCTCCTTTCTCCTCTAAATTTTACCGTCGGGTGGCTCACAAAAGGTATGCTTCGTTGGAATGGTTCCTTCCTCTTTTAAGCTTTGCCGTTCCCTTTCAGGTTCCCAACACACTGTTTGACGAGGTTTTGTTGAGAATTGAGTGCACGCATGGTCAATACCGATCTGTCCCGAATTCTCCTGGTGTGTGGGAATGAACGAGCCCAGCACCTCGCCTCAAAATTGCACGTTTTGTTGCCTGCCCTAAACCAATTGCGGAAAAGCAACGTCACGTCCTTAAGCAGGGCCGACAAAGCGTCCGCAGCAGGGCAGGTCACTTGAAAAGCACAGCAGTATGCTTGTAAAACATTGTATTATGATGCATTATGTCTGAGTGGATATTTCCTGAAGCAGCAATGCATTTTCACCTGTCATTGATCGCAAGTCAGACATGTCGCATGAAGGGAGCAGTTGTGAAGTTGGACATGCCCAATTGCTGACAACTTCAATTGGCCTCTTGTTGTAGAGCTGCGCACACGACTCAGCCTAAACTGCTTTGCGATTGATCAAAGGTTCCTGAATGGCTCTCTTGTTTTCCTGAAGCATACCAGACGCCGCTGTTTAGGAGAAGACCTTAAGTTTGAATGCAATGAAGCTCGATTTGGAGGAGACCAAGGCCGGCTGGAAGGGAAGCTGAACGGAAGGGACCTTCGGCGGGGTTGCGAGTACAACTGAACATCGCTGTACGCTGGGCACACGAGCTACGAAGATCTGACCTTGGCTTGATTGAATGCACTCTTTGGAAAATTTGCTCTGCTTGGCTCTCGTAGGCAGATTTGCTCTACTCATTATAGCTTTGGTTTTATCGCAAAGACCATTGTCGGTTGGACCGGACACCAACTCTTCTTGACTCTCACCAGGAATTGCCACCCAATTCCACTGCTTCGCCAGGCCGTGGTTGAAGCCATGTATCTCCATTTGACATTGGAGGAACTTTGGCTGCGTGGCTGCGGGCTTGGCGACGAGGGGGTCAAGGCAGCTCGGAGTGCTTGGGTGAGGCCAGTTTGTTTGGAAAAGGACCTTCATCAGATCTGGTTGAAGGATGGAACCATTTCCGAAGAGATCTTGGATGAGACATGTTGTTTTGACGGGTTCAGTGCAGAAGGACCTCAATGAGTTGCTTCTAGTCAGTTTCTCTTCCAAGCGCGGGGATGAAAGGGGAGGTAAATGTGGCAGACGCTGAGGGTCATGGATGACCACGATGATGTGTCTGATCTCAATTCGGTTCTCGTACGCAGGCACCAGATTTCTTCCACACCGACCTACCTCGACATTTTCTTTAATGCAGAACACCAAATGGTCGGGCAAACTGGCATTGTTGAGTGCCCAGTGTTTCCCATTTAGCACAGAGAACACAAGGCTAATATGTGTATGTGTGTGTGGCATAGTTGACAGGCAACTCAAACATCAAGATCAGGCAGGCACACGAGCATTTCTCCATTGACACACCATTCTCCTCGGTGGCACTTTCTGACCGAAGACGATCTCCCAGAGGCCACCAACTTGGTTCTTTCGTGTCTGGCGCTGGAGAAGTGGTTCGTATCTCTGCCAGGCCGTGGCAAAAGCGCTGGAGAGGAAGTCGGCGCTGCGGCGACTGGACGTTGATGAGAACGGCATCGGTGATGAGGGCACCGAGGCGTTGTGCCAGGAACGAACATGTGAGGGACAAACGAAGCGACCCTTCCACTGGCAATCCCCAACAGATCAGGGCCTGCGGCGCCTGCGGTGAGGTGAAGCATCTTGAGTGTTCAATGATATCTTGGCTACGAAACTGCGAAGTGTTCTTCTTCCACATCGCCGCCCAGCCAACTCCAGCCTCTTTCTCCAGGCCTTGGTGAACGCCTTGGAGGTGAACACGACCCTGGAGATGCTCTACATCGGTCGGAACAGAGGCATCAGCGCTCAGGGCCGTCAGGCGAGGTTTGAGACGGGTCGAGCGGGGTTGGACAGTGAAGTTTGCTTCTTGAAGGTTTGTATTGGAGGCGAAACTCTTGATTTTGGTTTCTTTTCTTGAAGCACTCATATTGCTGTTCTGGAATTCACCCTCTGAAACAGAGGGTTTGCTTCGACTGCTGGAGAATGTCTATGAGTTTGATGCAGGGGTCGACTTTGTGAAACGTGCCGCGTGGAACGGTTGAGCCGTGCAGACCAATGATATAAGCTCCTGCTTCGTAAACATTTGACACATCCACTTTGTGCACTCACTGTGTCAGAACTGACTTCCACTTTCTGGACCTGACTCACTGCGATCTGCATTCCGCCTAGTTCATCAGACAGGCATTCCGCCTGTACAAACTCTACTGTCGATTTCACCTGATTAGCTTCTGTCGCACTTTGAGGAACTTGTTCTCCCTCTTTGCTCCCTTTTATGCCACACCTGATGCTGTCCGGAACTCGAGTTGTCTCCCCCCGATCGGCATGGTGGACAGTGGACATGTGTCTACACCTGTACACCTTGGAATAAAAAGTGCATTTTGCAGAAATTGCAACTTTAACAATATGTTGTTTGCATTGAATGACAACTCGTTTTGCCAATGCTTCTCATTTTCTCTCAATGTTCTTTAATTGAGCAAAGGGGATGCAAACGATGCCAATGACATTATGCGCAATAGAGGAAGCCGGACTTGATCACTTTGGTGTACTCGCTTGGATAGTTGGGCCGTGTTTCAATCACATCCCATTCGTTGTTCAGGCTGTTGCAGGTGTAATTGCACTTTACCATCGAAAATAACATTTGGAATTCTGTTGATGGGGCCCCTCCCTTGGAACCGTGTTTGCATAGACCCCTCTGCATTAGATTCTTGTCCTTCCGGTTCTGCGCGTTCAACCTTGAACCTTTGGGACAGGTGCTGGGGACATGTGGCTCTAAATTTCGGCGGGTTTCGTTTGACTCCCTCAGCAGTAACTGCTCCCACAATTTAGTCGAACCACTTCATCTACCTACCGGTGGCAATTGGTCGCTGTTTTCGATCATTTTTTCCCCAGTGTGTGTTGAGCACCGGGAGAAATCTCTTTAGCCTTCCTTCAGGCTTGCATCATTCTTGACATAGGCTAGCAGCTTCAATCTTCAACAAGCATGGACCAAGAAAGTGAGACCCGCTTCCCTACTATTAACATTCCCCGAAGCACATCACCTTCCCTTCATGATTATGTGATTATGCAAGAATAAGATCTAGCACTCCTAGCCATGCACTTGTGCATGGCTTTAACATCCATACAAAACGCTCGAAGGTGTTCTTTCTGCAGCGGGCCAAGTTTTGACAGCACCGAAAGCAGTGCTCGTCAGGAGTTGGAAATGGTGCGAAAGAAGAAATTGGCGCATGGTCAGGATTTCAGGTGGTTCTAGGCACGCGGCAACGGGATTGGATCCGTCGGTGAAGGATTGTACCATCTAAGAATCTAAAGTCCTTTCCACTGCCTGCTCAAAGTAACATACCATGTTGTAACCAACCAAATATCTTTCATGACACAATTAAATTATATACTCATACTTCTCTGTTGGCCATGGAGTTGATGTTGAATCAGGAACTTGCCTCGTCGACATACCTATTTTCACAGAAAGATAATTTACGGGACATACAGCAATGATAATTTCAAGACAATGGAGCTCTGAAACAGGCACTATTGAGTACCTGTTTTGAGTGGGAAAAGCAACATTTGCGAGCCAATTATGCCGGGGGTGGTGTGAATCATATGGATTCCAAACGGGTACTAAATTTCGTACTCGTTTCGGAGCATAATTTTGTTAAAACTATATATAACTAATAATTGAATTACTTATCTGAAACATATTTGGATTTGCTGCTCTGCAGGCTTGTTGAGGCTGCAAAAGAATCTTGACTCGGAGAACAAGGGGCCCCAGGACACCTGTCCAGCTCACCTGCCCAGCTCTTAGAGCGGACTTCGGTCGGTCTCACTGCAGTCATGACATTCTCGTGTTTGGGTTTGATGGTGGGAATGCCTTGCGCACGTATAGAAGTTGCATTGGGCATTCATGACTGACTCAAGTCTGACTGAACTGGGTGTTTACTCAAAGTAGTTAACGTATTTCTGACATTGTGTGTATTGGCCAGAAAGAGGGGCCAGACAGATGAAGTACAAATCGCTCTGCCTGGATAAGAAGTTGGAACAACGAATGCATCGCGCTCAACTAGCTATGGTCGCGATTCTGGCCAATAAGTACACACTCTGCAGCGAAATCGTCCTGTATATCGAATTTGCACTTTGACCAGCCTTTGGACGGCAAGAAATTAGCACAAGCAGCCAGAGACACAAGTGCTGAATGCTTGCTCAGTGCTCAGTCCGAATTCCAAAACCTCCTGATGTTTCCTAGTCCTGTGATGGTCTGTGTTGGTTTTGGAGTACGATGAGTATGATGTTGATATTATCAGCACTGATTGAATTTGCTGACCTGCAAGGCTTGTTGAGGTTGCAAACGAATCTTGACTCGCAGAACAAAGGGCAAAGCCCAGTGCACCCCAGCTCTTAGAAAGGACTTTGGTCGGTTGCAGATCTCACTGCACCCCAATGCAACACTCAAGACATTCTCGTGTTTGGGTTTGATGGTGGGAATGCCTTGCACACGTATAGAAGTTGCATTGGGCATACACGACTGACTCAAGTCTGACTGAACTGGGTGTATATGATATATTTCGTTATATTTCCAATTGTGTGTGTGCATCTGCCAGAAAGAGGGGCCCGAAAGCTGGAGACTTGACAGACAGATCAAGTATTGATTTGCAAGGGTAAACAGTTGGAACAACGAATGCATCGGTGTCTAAAGAGCCGAAGCCTTGACATGGTAAAAGAAACATGTAAACACTACGAGAAAAGGAACACACCCAACGAGTTCTGGCCAATGCCTCAGAATTCATAGACGCACACACACTCTGCAGCCACCTCGTGCTGCACGTCGAGCCTTCGCTTTGACCTTTTTGCCGGTGCTGCCGTTGGGCAGAAATCAGTTGGCTGGCTCATTTGGGAAACCCAAGAGAAGCCACACGCACGAGCGCTCAGTGCTTGCTCAGTGCCGAGTTACCGTCCAAAACCACTGATGGAGGCTCGCAGTCGCAGCAGAAAAAGGGAGTTGAATTGAATTAAGTGTTTGGTTTGCGCACCGTAGCTACCCAATCGATGTTTCGTGAAGCTTTCTTGTCTGATGAAGTCACTCCGTTGCTGGAATCCACTCAGTGCCCAAGTCTCAGACTTTCAGACCGATGTAGTTTTAGCACCAAGCTTGGATGATCAGACAGTGTTGTGCCCATATCCCTAGGCCTGTAGTGCATGCAGGCAATTTTTCAATTTTGCATGTATTGTGTGTTGAACTAATGTTGAACCCAGATCGGTCAGCAGCTTTGTAGGTCTCTTTTAAATCGATCACTACTCGTTTGACTCTGAAGACTTCCACGGCCCACGCAGTGATGAGCCGACCAGCCTCAAGAGGCTCGCCGAGAATCCCTACAGGGATTTGCCATTCAATAGTTAGTGGTAAGATGTCAGACAGAGGACGCTTTTGTGCTGAATTTGAGGTTGCTTGCAGAAATCCCAGAGGAGTAGATACCAGTCTCACAGAAAAGCTCCGTTCACAGTGACCCATCGACCCCGCACGTTCCGCACGGAGACGATCGGGCCGACAGGGAGTTAGTTGGACACCTTCCACCAAAGCCGTGGGGAACATGGGAAGGGACTGCTACGGTTGATCTATATAAACAGGCGGTTTCTTTTTTTCCACATCCCGTCCTTCCAAACTGGTCGGTGGAATCATCCCAGCTTGGGTCGACCACACTGGACTCGATCTTCATGAGGTGTGCCTGGGATCTGGATGGAATACGACCCCAACGGGTGATTTTGGCGACCACAATGGGTTACACACTTCATAGAATAATTCCTTCCACCGAATCCAATCCCAGACCCCACTCCTCGAAAGTTGTTTTTGGATGTTTTGTACGTCCACTGGACATGGCCATAATCCTATACACACCACAGAACTCATGTTGGTTGTTTCTGCGGCAGAGGAGTTGTAGGATCCCATCTTCGGATTCCGGCATGGATGGAACGGCCACAGAGCTGTTCTATGCCTTACACTATCGGGGTTTTGGGAAGGTGAAGGAAGTTGCACCACAGCAGCTCTACGCCATGAAGATTATGAAGCCCCCGTCACGTTCAATGATGAAAGCAGAGGGAAAGGCTCACCCCGTGGCACAAAAAATGGATGTTGAACTTGAAGACTGAGACAAGAAAAGTGGATGAACGCACAGACGCCCTCAACGGTCACAGTAGACATTGTTTGATTAGCAGAAACGGCTAGTAGTTATTCTCCTCACTTCAAGAAATCCAAGAACACCACAAGTCAGTCGTTTCTCGTAAACAGCCAGTGTTTGTCTTGCTGATCAAAGCGACCCCTCTTGCTTGGCTCGGCTCAACTGCTCAGGCAGCATAGCGCCCGCGCCCCATGGCGTTCCTTGGTTTGTGGTCCCGGTCGGGTGGAGGTGGAGGTGGTCGGGTGGAGGTGGAGGTGGTTCGCTTCCCAAAGTCTGCATGTTGATGCTCCCAACACACATAGAACAGCGCAAACAAACTGGAGCACTTCGCAATTTAGATGCAAGAGAATGTGGCAACTAGCTCCCTGTTGACTGGACAAAAATCATCCAGGCATTGCAAGTGAACTGCCCAGTGACTAGTTGCTAGCTGCCAATGAAAGATGAACCCCAGTTGACCTCCATTCAGGTTGAACAGCAGAGCAGAAACTTGACATAGAGATCACAGAGCCAGTTTTGGAGGATAATTATTTGCAAGGTTGTGATACGTTGCCAGTTGTGCTTGGGATGACCCGTTCCTGGCTACACGCATCGCTTCTCGAAGAGAATTTCTCCTCCACAAGACCAACTTGGTTAACACACAGGACATAAATATAGATGAACATATATGATATAGGACAACACATTGGTGCATATAAACATAGGACATAAATATAGCATAGGATAACAACACATTGGTGGAAAATCTACACCACCTTCCAGGTCTTTCAATGCATCGAGACTCATCCATTCTGCAATCCCGCAAATAGGAACTCATATCTTAAAAAGGTGGCCACCTTCGCCCGTTACAGAAGTTGATTTGGATATCCATTCGTGCCTCAGGTCTGATTGAGCTGGATGTGAAGAAGTGACGTCTGATTTGCATCTGCAAGCAAGAAGAGCCATCGTTTTGCCAAGGTGAACAAAATGAATGCAAAGCTGTTGAAAGAGCTCAAACCTCAACACGACAGAACCATGAGTCAATGGGAGAACGCGCCCAACAAGTTCTAGCCAATGGCTTGTAGATGCATACACTCTGTGCAGCCACCTGCCGCCGTTGGGCGGTGTTTGCGGTGATAATTGGGCTCGCTTGGAAAACCCAACGAGTGCTCAGTACATTGCTCCTGTGAAACTTGGAAGAACATGTGGGCGAGCTCCACACACGGACTGAGGAGCAGGGGCTGTGGAGCATTGGAAGGGATAGAGAGAAGGAGCTAATTACTAAGCCCGCGGCTTCGGAGATGACTAGGGGAACAGAGGATGTTGAGAAGGGACTTGAGAGAAGAGTTGCCAAACAGAAGCTGGGTAGAATGTTTGGGGAGCGCGAGCTGCAGAGAAGGAGAAAAGGAAGAGGTGAGCAAAGACGATCCGGAAGAGATGGATGAGACGTGGCTGGTGGGAAAGAAGGGGAAGTGTGAGGAAGGTTGCGAAGAACTCGGGCTGGAGAGAAGTAACTCGGCATATATATATATATATATCGGGCTATCTGGGCCGCGCAGCAGGGATGGAAAGAGCAGGAGGAGGAGGGGGTGCTGGTCTCACTTGGGTGTTTGCCTTATTGTTGGCTTCGCGCGCGAAGAGACAGACTGTGGGGAGGAGACACTTCGCACGATGGGAGTTTTACGGGGCTGAGTGGGACGGAATGTTTGACGGGCAAAACTTTAAAGGCTTTGTGCTTTGCTCCCGGCTGTCGGTTTGCGGGTTGCAGAGCTGCGTTGCAAAGCTTTGATGCAGGCATATCAGACATCTCATTGAAGAACATGATTTTGAATGATTTTGATGTGGGTTCACGGGAAAGCAAACAGGACGGGATCCGAAATGGTCTAGGCCAACAGATGCCTTTTTCTGGATGTCACCACAGTTTCTGCCCGCGTTCGCTTGAGAGCTTCGTGCCGAAGGCACGCCGGTCACCTCGCCCTCGCCCCGGGTCGTCGGCGCTCCATGGAGAACGACATCGCGTCGCCGGTCCTCGCCTTCGACGCCCTGCAGTTGGTGCCAACGCGGACCCCGGTAGAAGACGCGGCGCAGGCGATGGAGAGAAGCATTCTGTGCCTTGGCGAGAGAAAGAATGACAGTTCTAGGGCAAGTGGATGGCATGGCAGCATGGGAATTTGACAGTCTTGTTGCTAGGTTGCACTGACTTCGTGGCTGGTTGTAGGTTGTATCTGTAGCCATGATACATGAATCTAGCACTAGAGACTGAAACTTGGCAAACTTAAGTTTAGTTCAGTCCTTTGGCCCCGGCAGAATCAGTGCAGAAGGCAAGCAGTTGTGATTCTGCGGCTTTTGGCAGATGGACTGCTTTGCACAACTTGTCAGCTCGTCCATGCTTGTCCCCCAATGCCTCGCAGCGAGGCATGTGGCAGTGATGGTTTGTATGTACTTGCCACTTGGCTTGCAAGCGGTCGCAAAAAAAACAGCAGGGAAGCGAAGAAGACACCGACTTGGGCTGATTCAACTTCCGTCGTGCTTTGCTCAGTGACAAATGTTCGGTTTCGCGGTATCCCACATTTTGCGGTTCCTAAGGCAGGGATATTTGAATCGATCATAGAATTTTTGATAGGATCGGCGCAGATGTTGGTTGAGGTTGCAGGCACATGTTGTCAGCCAGTCTTCACTGGGTTCGGCCAGTCCGACCATAGACGGTTTAGGCAATGACGAGATGTTGTAGATGTGATCGCGGCCATGACCAGAAACGACGAATCGAAACGGGCATGTGGGCATGTGTGTGAGCAAGGATCACCACTGCTTTGGGGACCGTGATGCTATTCTGTGCTGGCAAAGCCAAAGCAGTACCAAAGCGAAAGAGAACATCAAGGAAAGACAGCCTGTCATCGAAAACGAGCGAGGATGAGATGGCGGTGCGCGTAGAGGAGGAGGTGCCAGTATCTGGGTAGCAGAGCTTCTAACCAGTTTACAGCAAGAGGAACCACTTTGAGAGTTCTTGTTTTAAGGGAATTAAATGTTTTGATTTCGTGATGTGTGCACACAGCTTGGTGCTCTTCCAAGCTCACAAGGCAAGCCTGCAAACAACTGTTTCGCCTCAATCTCCCATTTGTGCCACAGCCAGCACCAAGGACCCCGACGACGAAGCTAAAGAACCTGACCTTCTTCAACTACCCATCAGCTTGCAGTACCAGAAAGCCTTTGTGGTGGGTGTGTATTGCTGCAATTTTCTCCTGTGCCTGGCGGTGCCTCAGTTGGTGGAATGGCGTGCGTTGCCGTCGCCTTAATGCGTGAAAATACGTGCGGGAACCGGACTAAAGTATTGTCTTAGTTGTCAATATATTTTTTTCGCAGCATCACCTAGCATCAACACGACCTGATTCACTGTTGACTTGAACTGAAAAAAGGCCCTTTCCGCCAGACGACTGTGACTCCGGCTATGACCGAAACAGAGAGGAAGTTCGAAACGCTCAGGCAGGCGTCGGCAGCACGTTGACGGGGCTATTGAGCCCGGAGCTCGGGCTAGCTTGGGAATTCTACACGGTGCATTTTGCATGTGGATGTCTTTGGATGCTTGCGCAGGCAGGTAGACCTAGGAGTGACGGATTTCCTGACCTTTATGCCATGTGGCTTGAACCGACCAGAATACATCATCAAGGTTGCCATTTCCACCACAGCAGGGTGGCACATAGGCACATCTACAATATGTATTTCTTAAAGACTGTTGACATGAAGGCTTTCGGCCAGGATCTCCCAAGTTAATAAGCAAATAGATTTATGATATATTATAACAGTTGTATGTATTATCACGAAAGCCAGCCGATAGGCAAGGCTTGAGTTCTTAGGGTGAACGAAGTGAATAAAGGGGGTGTGGGGGGGGGTGTCACAGGGACTGATTTGGGAGGGCGAACCTAGAGCCTGGTGGGGGAGAGCGAAGAAAAGTAGGGTCAGGAGGGC